TTTGCAATAAACTCCCGATCAAGCAGCACCATAATTGATTCCAACTTATCCCTAAACTCATTCCACAATCTCACCTCTTCATCAGGATTAAGAATCCCACCAAATAACTGTGCAGCAGGCGGCGATTCCAAAATAACTTTATAAAACAACGGCATATCATTCAAAACTTGCAAAAACATCTCCCCTACATGACCTATGGTAACCTGAATTATCCTAGTTACCTCACAAAGAACAGGAACCACAGCATTACCATCAAAATTACTCAACTTTTGCAAAATCCACGACTTCCGAGAGTCCAAAAACAACCCAAATGCCTGCTTAGGATCGAGCTCATCAATTATCGCGACACCAGCAAGAGCATCCGCAAATGCCCCAATTGGCAACTTCCAAACATCATTCTCTTCCTTATCCAACATCACCAACAACCTCTCTCGACTCCTCTGCGAAATCTGACCCTTAAAACTCTCAACAATCTGCCATTGATGATTCAACAATGGAAAATTCTTCTTCAAAATCTTCCCCCCATCATGCCCCACCAAATTCAACCCTTGATAAACCAATTTAGCTCTAATATACCTAGCACTAGCCTCCAAAAACATAAATTCATCCAAACACCCCCAAATATTTTCTGGGGTATCAACCAAATACTTAACCCTACTAGCAATGCCATAGATTTTAGTTCGATTAGGGTTAGGGTTAGCCGAAAACTTAGGACTTACGGCAGAAGAAAGCGAAAAAATTGAATCAGAGATCGATTGAATATTAGAAGAAATTGACTCACAAGACGATTTCATCAACAAAATTGAATCAGCCGAATCAATCAGATCTCTGTAACGATTTCCAATCAGCTGACGAAGTTCTTCCTTCTTGTCTTCGATCTGCTTCCGGGTATTCAACTCCACGTTTCTGATCTCCGAAACGGGTTTCGCCCGAAACAGTGATTCAGCTTCACGAAACCCTGTTCCCGCCGCCATTGCCGCCGATTGATTTTCCGACGGAGCTCTCATGATTTTGCCGGGAGTTTTTACAGAGTGATGGATTTGAGAGAGAGAAAATCCCTATATTGGGGAAATTATGAAGACATTTAAAACCTAAATTGGAATTACAATGTGGGAAATTAGGGATTTAGATGTGAAATTGGGATTTAGAGGAGAGAGAATTTCAATGGATGATCTGAGATTAGACAGTGAACTCCATTTTTGATTGCTTCATTTCAAAGAGTTTATTTTTCTTTTATTTTTATTTTTTTTGAAGGAAAAATACTTGAATTTTGATAAACGGGTGGGTTATGTCGGTAATTGGGCTTGGAATGTAAGTGGATAGTGAATGTAGCAACTTTAGCAAGAATGGGCTATGGAGTATGGACTCTATATTTAGAATTTGTTGGGGGAAATGGGGAATGAGGAAACAACAATTATCTAGTAGCTCAAATGGTGTACCGAACGCAATAATAATTGAGAGGAGATTGGAATCTAACCACTCATAATTGAGTTTCGAATCTGAATTAGCTCAAAAGGTGAATCGGGTGAAACATAAAAAAAAATTTGATAAAATGAAATATTTTGATTGGCAATTTGGCACATATATCAATGTATAATTTTTATTATTATTATACTTGTATGTCATAATGTCTTATGGGTTGATATATTGGGAGACCACTTAAAAATTCAATTCAATTTTTTTTTTTTTAAAAAAAAACCTTAAAATTTGTGAGAAAGTGTGTATTAGTCTTCATTTTTGGAAAGTTTTGTAAGTCTTAAGAGCATTTTATATTCAAAGATGCATCCTCCACCATTACTTGAGTATTTGATACCAGGTATTAGCCTTCAGCCCTTCACCTTTGGATAATTTATAACTGGACTAAGGGCCTGTTCTTTTCAACTTAATTTAATTTAAGTTAAGTTAAGTTCAATTCAGTTCAGTTCAATTCATTTGCTCATTTCAGTAAATCAGAACAGACCCTAAGTCACCTAAAAATGTCCGATTTGTCTCTTAAGTCTAACAAGCCGGTTTAAGTCATCAAGTGTCCACTTTTTTTTTTTTTTTTTTTTTTTTGGGGGGGGGGGGTTGTACTATTTTTATTGAGTTAATGATTTTCAGTTATTTCCGGTATTCCCTCAATAGTCAAATTCTCAAACCCTTATAGTTAAAATTTACAGATCTAGCACCACTAATGCGTATTAGTATAACATTATAAACTGATTATTTGATTTTAATATACACATATATGCTACATTATATTATTACACCTTAATATTGTCAACAGATCAATGTCTTTATATATAATATACTTGTATTCCATAAGCTATTCCTTGGTTCAATGCTAATATATGTATCACTAACTGCTATTGGCATCATTAATTTATTTTAATAACACATACTCCATATATAAGGTATAACGTAATAAAAAGAAAACAAATCTTAGAACTATTTTTTTCGGCTTTAATATATTTAGCCTTAAGGTCTAACTTTAGGCTTTAAACATTAATCATACTTCCTCAAATTAATCATGAATTCTTGATAAAATACTCTTCAATTGATTCCATATATTTATGTATGATTAATGTTACAGATTTCGATTTTATTGTCTTATTATTAGATTGCTCTTGTTTGGCAGAAGTAAAGACTTTTTCTATAAAGATATAATTCTTCATAATTACAAAGTACACAATTGTGAGTGAAGGATACGTAGCTCAAGTGATTAGAGCTTCCCTCCCGGTTTCAAGAGATCTTGGGATCGATTCTCACTCCACCCTTGTTTAGATCAGAAACACCAATTATTTCTTATATGTATCATGTAATAATTCAAAAATTGACGGAGTTATGATGTCGTAAATATTAATGAATATCCTTTACCAAATCATAACTACTTTGACCATGAAACTATTATACATTTATACTTTGTATGACAATTGTAGAATAAGATTTATAGGGTGTAATAAGTAGTAGATTAAAATGACTTTAATTACAATATAAAGTGACATATTTCGTCTCGTGACATAACATTGTTCCACCCAAGAAAATGAGAAATTGCTAGCCAATAATTATCATTGGTCGAGACTTTATTAATAAGAATATAATATAATATTGATAACAAATATTTGCATGGCATTTAAATTAATTATTTTAAAAATGAGCAGCCTCCTAATAAGGAAGTTTCTATGACGAAGAAATGTGATCATTATGGTCGTCGACTCGTCGCCTGTATAAAAAAGATGAGCAAAACTTTAGGCCAAATTCTACATGCATGTATAACTTCCAGCCAAGCCACAGCTGGTACTTACATCATGTCAAATACTGATTTCTATCCTACTTTGGCAATATATACTCCCAAAATGACTTGTCTAATGTGTAGTCTGTTACAAAAGAGTTTGTCAATTATAACGGAGTAACTTTTTAATCTTGTTAATCGCTAACAAGGAGTATAAGTTCAGTTCAGCTGAGTTCAGTCAATATGAACAGACCCTAAATCTTGTTAGACGGTTATTATTGATTTAATGGTGTGTAACCATACTCGTGACATTAAAATTAACGGAAATTTCATGAAATGCCCCTGAGTAATTTTTTTATTCACCAAATACCCATCAAAACTTTCAAATTCACCAAATACTCCTGAGTTTAAAAAAATTTCACCAAATGCCCTTAATGACTAACGGCGGTTAACACCGTTAGTCATTACTGACTAATACGCCACGTGGCAGCCTCTAATTGGTTGTTGTAATATAAATAAATTAATTATTAAAAAAACTTTAAAAATATATAAAAAAAACTTTTTAAAAAAAATACCCCCCCCACCCCCTAAACCCACCCCGCCCCACCACCAGCCCCTGCCAGACGACGCCGGCGGCCGCCAGCTCCCTGTCGGAACCGGCGCTGGTCGCAGGCGAGGCCAGCCCCCTCTCCCTTCGTTTCCCCTCCCCTTAAACCCCTCCCCATCCCTCGAAAAACACCCCTCCTTCGCGGCCGGCGTCCAAACCCCCTCCCCGACGCCGGCGAACCTTTTTCGCCCCACCCGCCATCCCCACCCCCTTTCCCCCCTAAATCACCACCCAAAAAACCCTTTAATCGAAAAAATCCCAAATCGAAATCTAGGGTTTCAATTTGGGGGGTTTTCGGTTTTTAGGGTGGTGGTTTAGGGGGGAAAGGGGGTGGGGATGGCGGGGGGTGGGGCGAAAGTGGTTTGCTGGCGTCGGGGAGGTGGTTTGGGCGTCAGTCGCGAAGGAAGGGGGTGTTTTCGAGGTTGGGCAGGGGTTTAAGGGGAGGGGAAACGAATGAAGAAAGGGGCTGGAGGTAGGGGAGGGTGGGCGGGCTGCCGTCGCTGGCGAAAAGGGACCACCGGCGCAGGGGGAGGGGTGGGTGGGTCTTGGGTGGTTGGGGTATTTTTTTTTAATTTTTAATTTTTTTTTTATTTTTAATTTTTTTTAATAATTAATTAACTAATATTACAACAACCAATTAGAGGCTGCCACGTGGCGTATTAATCATTAATGACTAACGGTGTTAACCGCCGTTAGTCATTAAGGGAATTTGGTGAAATTTTTTTAAACTCAGGAGTATTTGGTGAATTTGAAAGTTTTGATGAGTATTTGATGAATAAAAAAATTACTCAGGGGCATTTCATGAAATTTCCGTAAAATTAAAACCATTTTTTAGACGGAAAAAGTTCGACTTTACAAGAATACATTGATATGTGTCATTAAAAATAAAAACTATTTTGGAAACACCGAAAAAAGACTATTAAAACTAAACTTTACTAAAATCGAATTACTAAGAACCAAGCAAATTTGACCAAACATAATCTCTCTCTAATAGCCTCATTAATCATGATTACCTCAAAACACCCAACTCTTATTTAAAACACTCCAACACTTCTCTCCAATTGTCACTATCTCCCCAGAAACTTCAACCCATTTCTTCTCCCAAGAAAAAAAAAAAAAAAAATTGAAAAAATAATACGGAGTATGAATAGAACATGACACATACATTCATTCGTCATTCCTAAAGTTTAACACAATCACACATAAATTCTCACACTTTCTCACTCCTCATTTTACTTCTCTCTCTACTCCAGTTGTAACCTACGCGTTACACCCTAATATAAAATCCCTCCTTTCCTAAACAATTTTTCTCGTACTATATATATAAACACCCAAAAACAACATTTTTCTTGTTTCAATTCTCTTCATCCTCAACATTTTCCAATACACCCCCTTATCCTCTCCAATCTGTCTTCCAACCCATGCCTTAAACATTAACCATCGTCGTCATATTCTACTTGGTTAAAGTCTTATATATATATCGATCAAATCTTGTCTACATCAATTATTCCGAAACTCGAAAAAAATGCATAGTTCAAACATGTGGGGAGGGACATATGAGGTGCAAAGAATTGATCAAAAAATTGAGGAAGATCAATTCAAAAATAGTAGAGAAATGGAAGATTGGGATAGAGCAAGTTTATTATACCAAGAACAAATAAATGGTAATAATAATAGTCATGAATTAGATCAAGTGCAACAAAGTTGGCTATTAGCACCACAAGATCAAAGTCGTAAGAATAGGAAAAATAAGTATGTTGATTTGGGGTGCATTATTGTTAGCAAGAAAGTTCTTAAATGGGCATTTTGGTCATTTATTGTTGCTTTCATTGTTATTGCTATGCCTGTTATTATAGCCAAATCTTTGCCTAAACATAAAAGTGGACCGCCCCCTGCTGATAATTACACTATTGCCCTTCATAAGGCTCTCCTCTTCTTCAATGCCCAAAAATGTAAGTTCTTTCTTCCTCTACTCGTCTTTTTTTATTAAAAAGTACGCGTAAATAATTTTAATATAATTTGTTTCATTTCTTGTGTGATTATATTTAATGTGAAATCTTTGTGGTTTAAAGTTATATAAATGGGTGTAGTTTTATGAAATATGTAGATTTTTTTTTTAATAAAAATTTGTTTTGATTTGTTTTTTGATTCAATGAATGTTAATGTTAGGAGGACAACTAAGACTGAAGAATGGATAGACTGGCTCTAAGAAATTTTCCCTTTAAAAGAAGATTTTATGAAAAGCCTCAGCTACTCTGATAAAAAGTCATCGAAAATTTAAAAAGCTAATCCAAAGTCAATATCAATCTTGGGAATTTACCCATTTTAAATACTCAACTTTAATATTTATAAAAAATTATTTACTCCGTATTTATTTTATAGAGGAAAATTGTATTTGTAAATTGTAATAAATTGTTTAAAAATTACGAAAACTAGAAATATCAAACCTTAATTACACCGATTAACACGTGATTTGACATGCATTCTCAAATTAATATCGCTTTAGAAAATATGGAGAAATTTCTCTGTTTTAAAAATATTGTAATTCAAGAGGAATATTACTGTGAAAAACCAATAAATTTATCTTGATAATTTCAAGTGGTGAATCTTTTTAGATGAAAAAAGGAGAGCTAATTTTCTTGATAAAATAACCATTTTACACACTTTGTAATAATTTATTACATAAAATAAATAAAATCCGCGTGTAACACATAATTAGTGGTCCATTATCGATAATCCATGAACATGCCATAATATAAGGAGTTCAAAAAACGGGGTTTTCTTTCTTTTATGTCGTGCAAAAGGATGTTATGCAACTTTTTGACATAAATCTCGTGCGTTAGTTTGATTTGTTTGGGTATATCTATTGGCAAATTAGAATTTGAACTCCGTGTGGGTCCCTTATAACTAGTTTTGAGATTAATCCATGTTCTAAGGAAATTTTTTTACAATTAATTTATTATTACTCGTATTGTTTTTTGCCTATCGTTGGTTACAAAAAGTGTATGATTTTGGCCTTTTGGGTATCATTCCCAAGACGTTATGTTTTAGCAATATTATGTGTCTATATATGAGTTATCTATAAATTATGATAATCTATTATGGAGTACAAATTTTATTAATTTTTGATATTTAATTATGACTAGAATTCACATGATCGAATATACTACCTCCGTTACATAACACATTTCAAAAAATTTGTACTTTAACTTAAAATGATTGTAATTAAAAAATATTATGAAGGCTAGGGGTAATGAAAGTTGGACAAAAATGCTTGATCAATATTGATCATGAATTCATGATGTTACCTTTTTTTTTTTTTTTTTAATACGGAGTATAAGTAAAAGCAAAGATTAATTACAAGGCATTAGCAAAAGCAATTAAAAAAGAGATATCGTAGGTGTTATTGGTGTTACTCATAACAATTTTGTGTGAACTTTTTGTAGGGTAGGTGTTATTCTTCCACGCGAAGATTGGAATATAAAACAAACTAGCTAAGGAATGTTCTATAAAATGTCATGATTTGTTGAGTTTTTGAAAAATAATTAAATAATATTCCAACGATTACATCTTTTTCGTCTATCAAACCCTCAATTAGAAAAACCATTTTTCTTCAGTTGAAAATAACCAATAATGTCACCCATTTTGCAATCTAGTTTAATAATCAATTAGGTATGTAATATGTACATTTTTAATAGTCACGAAGATGTTGCCTCATACATGCAAAGTCAACCATTAACAAAACATAATTTCTGCCGTCCATTTTTTTTTTTTTTTTTTTTTTTGGTTAGGAAGAAAAAACATAATTAGGAGCGTCTTAATACCAAGCTAAACTTGGTCTAGTGGTACGATTCTATTGTCACGTTCCAAACTTGAGGTTGGGGGTTCAATCCCCACTACAGACCCTTTGAGGCTAGGGATCCTTACCCGTTCCTCTCACTCTCAATGTGTCTGACCCGTAAATACCGGATCCGGACCAAAAAAAACCATGTGCCGCTTTCCTTTACTCTCTCGAACTTTGATGATTTGAACCATGTGTGTAATTGATTTTGCAGCTGGAAAATTGCCCAAGCATAATGGAATAAAATGGAGAGGAAATTCAGGATTAAAAGATGGATCAAAATTAACCGATGTTAAAGGAGGATTAGTAGGGGGATATTATGATTCAGGAGAAAACACAAAGTACCATTTTCCTATGGCATTTGCAATGACAATGCTAAGTTGGAGTGTGATCGAATATCCACACAAGTACGAAGCCATCAACGAGTACGATCATGTTCGCGACCTCATCAAATGGGGCACCGATTACTTGCTCAAAACCTTCAACAGCAGCGCCGACCAAATCGACAAAATCTATAGCCAAGTTGGTGGTGCACAAAACGGATCCAAAGTCCCTAGCGACGTGACATGTTGGCAGAGGCCAGAGGACATGACCTATGATCGCCCCGTGCAAACATGCTATGCAGGGGCGGATCTAGGTGGAGAAATGGCTGCAGCCTTAGCAGCAGCCTCTATTGTCTTTCGTGACAACAATGCATACTCAAAGAAGCTAATCAAAGGTGCAAAAACTGTGTTTCGATTTGCTAGAGATGGTGGCAAGAGAGCACCTTATAGCCGCGACAACCAGTGGGCTGCACCATACTATAATTCAACAGGGTACTATGATGAGTACATGTGGGGTGCTACTTGGTTGTATTATGCTACCGGAAACAATAGCTATGCTTCCTTGGCCACTAATGCCGGGATTGCTAAAAACGCAAAGGCGCTTATGATGAACACCAACACAAGTTACTTGAGTTGGGACAACAAGTTGCCTGCAGCAATGTTGTTGTTGACAAGGTTTAGGATGTTTTTGAATCCTGGTTTTCCATATGAGCAGACTTTGATGCAGTACCATAATGTTACACAGCTTAATATGTGCTCATATATTAAGCAATTTCAAGTTTATAACCGGACTCGAGGTATGTACACTACTCCCTACGTCCCTTATTATTTGTTACAAGATATACATTCTGTTTTTTCTTAAAACATAATTAGTGTTTTTGTGTATTTGATAAAAATAGTCGTTTGATTGAATTTTTTTACTATTCGCGATTTGCTAGCAAAATGACTAAAACTAAAAGAATTGAGAAATTGGGTTAGCATGCATTTATATTGTATTACAAGTTTACAATTAGTTAAACGATTAATAGTTAGCCAATTAGCCTCGTTTGGTCATTAATGTGGTGTGGGAATAAATTTCTCAGGAGGATTGATAGTGCTGAACAAAGGAGGACCAAAGCCATTGCAATACGTAGCGAATACAGCATTTTTGGCAAATCTCTTTGCAGATTACATGGACTCTACTGGGGTTCCTGGATGGTATTGTGGCCCTTATTTTCTTCGTCATTCTGATCTTCGTAACTTTGCTCAAACTCAGGTAACCAATACGTCTAACTCTTTTATTTGCTATGTGTCCATGATCTAATTTGCGCTGTTTTTATAATATAAAGTATTTTTCATTGTAACAACCATTTTCTGGTTGTAACAGGTTGAGTACATGTTGGGCAAGAACCCATTGCACATGAGTTATGTGGTGGGCTTTGGAAACAAGTACCCAAAGCACGTGCACCATCGGGCCGCGTCGATACCCAAAAATGGGGAGAAATACACTTGTAAAGGGGGGTTCAAGTGGAGGGACAGCAAAAAGCCAAACCCAAACACAATTGATGGGGCAATGGTTGGTGGGCCGGATCGTTTTGACAAATTCAAAGATAACCGCCAACTAGACCGCTACACCGAGCCCACGTTGGCCGGTAATGTCGGTCTAGTGGCGGCTCTAATCTCATTGACTACAACCGGTGGGGTGACTGGAGTAGACCGAAACCTTATATTTTCCGGTGTTCCCCCGCTTTATACTCCATCCCCACCACCACCAGCACCATGGAGGCCCTAAGAGCATTGAAAGAAAAAAATTGTGTAAATTAAAGAGATTGTCAATTTAATTCATCTCATTTTGTAATTGATTTTTGAGGTAGGGGTTTTACATCCTAGAAAGGGATTTTTTTTCCCTTTGTCCATACACCTAGAGACTAGAGACTTAGAGAGGGTTAATTATTTGATTATCATGAAAAAGTCTCATGTTTTGTAGTTGAGTGTTTTGCACACCGATTTTGTATGTATAAACTCGGCTAAAGTTACCAAGTTAATCTTGAATGGAAGTCATACTATCTATCCACATAGCCTAAGGCTATGTTTATTTCAACTTATGTAATAAGATATTTGCTTATTTCATAAATTAAATTACATTAGACTAGACCAACACATATATTATTTTTATATATTTTGAAAATAAGTACTAAACCAAAACAAAAATAAATAAATCTAGTGATGAACATAGTTTAAAAATAAATAAATTACTTGATTTATCTTCCAACAGAATTGAATTGCTCTTCAAATAATTTACTTAAAGCTTGCCAAGTTGTAAGATTCTTAAAGATATCAAGTAATCAAACATAGTAACATGCAACAGGTTGGATAACTATTATCAATCCCAATTTGCCCATAACCCATATGCTACTAAATCTCAAGATTTACTTTACACATGAAACCACTCTTATTAAAATAATTCAACTGTATAAAATTAGTGTAAAGTCAAGTCATATAAAATAAAAACTATAAAGTCAATATTTCATTTATTCAATCTCACACTATACCAAAGTTTAATCACACCATTTGAAAGAAATCATCTTCATCAATTCTCATCATCATAAGAAGTGGAAGAAGGTGAAATTTGGCCGGGTTTAATGGGTTTTAAGACCCTAAAATGGGCCATTTTGTTCATGATTATTGCTAATTGGATCGACCCGGTAAAGCCCGAACCCACCAAGTCAGCCCAAACCTTGACTAGCCACAGCTTTGATAATTACACTGTTGCTCTTCACAAAGCACTTCAGTTCTTCAACGCCCAAAAATGTAAGTCTACCTGTCCTGTATCATAATTTTTATTATGGGCGTGTTCGATAATAGTTTTAAAAGATATTACATGTTATAAAGGCGTTCAATAAAAATATAAGTGTTCAGTAAAATAGTGGTATTTACCGTGACAAGTTCATTATCATTAGCTATGCATGCTTAGACAGATAAGAGTAAAACACGATTGTTAATCAAATCTAACACTCATGATCACGTCGTTACAGCCGGGAAACTACCCAAGAACAAGGGAATTCCGTGGAGAGGAAACTCAGGGCTACTTGATGGATCTCAACTTAAAGATGTGAAGGGAGGATTAGTAGGTGGATACTATGATTCTGGTGAAAACACCAAGTTTCATTTTCCTTTAGCCTATTCCATGACAATGCTAAGTTGGAGCTTGATTGAGTACCCTCACAAGTATCGTGCCATTAACGAGTATGATCATGTACGCGAACTCATCAAATGGGGAACAGATTACTTGCTCTTAACATTCGACTCAAATGCCACAAAGATCAGCAAAATCTATAGTCAGGTAGATTTTTTTTCACTGAAATTCCCCCTAATTAGGACTTATTTCCTTGCCTATATGAAAGCAAATATAACTTATATAGGTATAAACTTCAATTTAACATAGATTTTGATTGAAAGGTTGGTGGTGCCTATGAAAATTCGAATGTGCCTGATGATATAAGCTGTTGGGAGAGGCCAGAGGACATGGATTATCCGAGGCCAGTACAAACAGCATACGCCGGGCCAGAGCTAGCAGGGGAAATGGCAGCAGCCTTGGCTGCAGCCTCTATAGTATTCAAGGACACCCCTGCTTATTCAAAGAAACTCATCAAGGGTGCTGAAGCTCTCTTTGCCTTTGCCAGGGACCCTCAAAAGAGACGGCCTTACAGCCGTGGGAACCCTTGGATCGAGCCATACTACAACTCAACAGGCTACTTTGACGAGTACTTATGGAGTACAACATGGTTGTATTTTGCTACTGGAAAACTTAGCTATCTTTCGTTAGCTACAAATCCTGTACTAAATAGGAATGCTATGTCTTTGAAATGGAGCAAGAAAGCCGGTGTTTTGAGTTGGGATAACAAGGTTCCTTCATCATTGATGTTGCTGACAAGATTGAGGAAATTCCAAGCTACATTTTACCCATATGAATCAATGTTGATAGAGCATGATAAGCTTATTGCTCTGTCTATGTGTTCTTATCTCAAACCCTTCCATCTCTTCAAATGGAGTAAAGGTATGGAATTTTCGTTCTTTTCAGCTGAAAACCCCATGAGTGAACTCGTCTTAACTTATTAGCTGTGATATGAACTTAGTTTAGTTGTGAAATGACTTACCTGAAAATTATTTGTTTAAGGTGAAAAGAACAAGGTCGAAACATCTGCAATTTGAGATGTGTTTTTCCCTTGAAGAATTTCGTTCTTACGATCTGATTTGGGAATGCAGGAGGATTGATACAGCTGAATGATGGAGAGCCACAATCTTTGCCGTATGTAGCAAATGCTGCTTTTTTAGCAAATCTATATGCTGATTACTTGAATGCTACTGAGAGTCCTGGATGGTCTTGCGGCTCTAAATTCTTCACTTTAGCCACTCTCCGCAATTTTGCTTCATCTCAGGTTTACTTCCCTTTTCCCTTGCTACCCATTTCTGCTGCTCTACGAACAATTATTAGACCGTCAAACACGGCCACAATGTTGTTCGTAACAAAATCCAAGCTGTCTTTTATCAATTGCCCTGCATGGCATGCGAACTATATTACATGATACTTTGTGATTAACCAAGACTACAGATGATGCAGTGATCTTGGCACTCTTGCTCAGTAGACTAACTACCTATTGTTTTATATTGACACAGATAGACTACATTTTGGGCAAAAACCCCCTAAGGTTAAGCTATGTGGTGGGATACGGTGATAAGTACCCGAACCATGTGCATCATCGAGCAGCTTCAATCCCATCTGATGGTTTAAAGTACACATGCAAGGGTGGACACAAGTGGAGGGACAGCACGAAATCCAATCCCAATACCATTGTAGGCGCCATGGTAGGAGGACCTGATCAGTTTGATTTTTTTCATGATGATCGTCAAAACCGTGGCTCCACAGGACCCACATTAGTCGGTAATGCTGGGCTTGTGGCAGCACTTGTTTCACTGACTAGTGGTGGTGGTTATGGTGTTGATAAGAACTTACTGTTTTCAAACCTCTCACCACCAAATGGCTTCTGATTGTAATTTTCACAATGAAAGAAGAATTTATAGACAAGATCGAGAATACCACGGATCTAATATAAATTTGTATGTCCTGAAGCAGTTGCATAACTTAACTAGTAATGATGTTACCAATGCTAGGAACAAGATATCTAGTTTCTGATGAATAGAATTATGTATATTCCGATGGATGAATTATGCACAAGAAAACTCTATTGACTTATTATAATGTAATTTAACAATACTTGGTGATGACGATGTGTTCTTAGTTTCCTCATTGAGCATAGCATGAACCTGGTCCTCCAGGAGCAATCCTGCCAAGGCCGTCCCCTGGAGCAGCTGCAATTCCTCTTTGATTGAGCAGACACCTGAAGTGTGCTAGCCTCCTAGCTACTTGTCTTGGATTCCTAGCTAGCTTGTCAAACGACGTCCATAACCTCTCTACAGGAAGATAAGTACAACAAAAGAAAAAGAATGAAAGATCAATCAGGAAGTTCAGTCATGCATAATATATGGTAATTTTTATTTCTTTACAACTTTTTTCTTATTTTCCAAATGTTTCAAACTTGCATCCGTAGCCCACATGGTTATTATTCCCTGGCAAGTTTGTAATTCATGATTTTTTTTTTTTCATATAAGCTTACAGCTGGGTCTCAAGTGTAACTTTGGGTTTTTTTTCACCTTTAAAAGGTTTAAAGAAAATACAAGTTCAGATAAGAGACATTAAGCTTAGACAAGGGCTACCGAAGTTCAATTTACAACAAAAATTAGTTCAAAGAAGGGTTTTAGGTGATAAGTATGAAGCCTATGCTCAAGGCACAACACAGTACAGCGAGTGCAAAGCTGTTGGTTACAGTTTTGTTTATAAACAACGGTAATATATCAGAATCTGAATCCTAGCATGAACACTAGTAAAGTAGTAATCTAGTTATTAATTACGATTACCTGCAGCTGCAGCAGCACGAGGCCATATGGTTTGTTCAATGTCAGATGCATCAATGTGTTCACCCCACATGCAAACTTCACCTCCAAGGACTAATTTTTGTTGCTTGGGATTTGTGATATTGGTTAGTGGTTCATTCATATAAAACTGCTGCCATGTGGTGTCTAAATGGTCCAAATACCAATTTTCCTGGTTGCTTACGATGCACCTTAACCCAGCTGCAGTCACCTTCTCAGCAACACCACCCCCTAGCCTATCAGATCGAGCAAAACATTGGAGAGAGAGTGTTTATCAACCTCCAAGAGCTTTATAAAGAAGGTGCCAAAAAATATTTGTTTGAGAAAAAACTGATATATATGGAGATGACTAGATGCTTATTGCAAGGTGTTAAGAACATACCAATTATGGATCACAGTCTTTCGGTCCAGTTTATCACCAAAATTGTTAAAGGTTTCCTCCCTGTTTAAGTTTTAAATGCTTAAACGAGTAAGATACTTTGAGAGATGAACAGATGAATCAAATGGGATTATACAGAGTATTGAAATAGGCAATATTTTACCAGTTAATAACCTCATATCCATGGGATAATGCAATTTTCTGCGCTCTCAATACAAAGTATTGGTAAGCTTGAGAGCCAACCATCTTATGAGTCCGTAACCTGCAGAATTCATCACAGTGTTCAATAGGTAGGAAAGAGAGCTCAGTTAACAAGACAAATGCACTAATAGAATGGACAGTCATAATAACTTATTGTTAGAAAGAGTTTAAAAGCTTACCATCCGCTCACACGACGAGTTGACTCCCAGCAACCTGAGACATGAAAGTATCTATTGAACATACAACAGTAATAGTAGAATTTATGATCGAACATTCAAGGGCTCCAAAAGGGAAGAAATGAGAGCAATGTACAATCATCTTGCACCAAAAGTGCCAGGCTAATGCCATGCCTCTGTTTCATGAGATTACCAAATAAAAAGAACAATATACAGAAATTACGGAATATATTTTAAATTTCCAAACAATTCAACTAACCTGTATCAACTTCATCGCCTCCTAAATGAACAAACTTATATTTGAAGACCTTGCTAAAATCTGTCAAATTACAGGCAATGTTTGAGTTGATGCATAGAAGCCAT